GTAAACTAGGCCATGAAAATACAATATCTAAGTTTCACTACTGCTCTCTATTAAGAATATCTTAGTGGAACTATCTGGAAATTAAAGGCGCTAATAAAGGTAAAGCTGATATATTTTTCTCATTTTTATTTTTTAAAAATTGACTGTAGTTGACCGTTTTAATGAGTGTTAAGCTATGTAAAACAAATGGCTAGTCTTGGTCACATGAGCTCTCTATGGCCAAGAACCTTGAAAATCACTCACGTTTGAATAACTGAACATTATAAAACAACATGCTAATCGAATTTTACAATTCTAAAAACTGCATAAGCTTTTTTTTTAACACTTCTGCTTAGCCACTTGGCTAGTCCTTTCCATCACACACTGCTTGCTGGTTAGCTAGGTAGCTTTCATTTTACTAATTTATATACAGCATTTGGCTAAAGTGAGTTGGGATGTACATTGATGCTAGACATTTTTACTTGCATACTGCAGAAGGGAAATCAGTGATTCACCTGAATGTGGGTTCTCAGGTTGGTGTTCGATGTCCAGGACGTTGACAACAGTTTCGTTTTGGGATTACAAAGCAGACATCTGAACACGTACTTTTTTTCAGAAGTTTCAACAAGTTTCATATATCTGTGAAGGTAAGGCCACGGTGTGGTAGGGACTTTTGGCTGCTCCTCTCGCTCTGCTTCTGTCTCCTCCTCCATCCTGTGTGGGTGTGTGGCTCAGTGTGTTGTTCGGTGAGTTCCACTGCAGTGCGCATGCGCATGTTTCAGTAGATACACACAGAGGAGGCAGAATAGAGGCTCATGTGTGAATGTCCAACGAATAACTCCGATTGTTGTTTCAAAAATAGAAAACCTGGTTTCATTTCTTAGTTATGCCCTGGATTTTGTAGCGTTTGTGGACGCTACGTCGCTACTTGATCAAAAAAATAGCGTCACTACTGGAAAGTTACTTGATAAATAAAGCAGCGACGCTACGGTCAAGCTACTTCAAAATGTAGTTAGCTTCGCTACATGTAGCGGCGCTACTGCCCATCACTGTATATATATATATATATATATATATATATATATATATATATATATATATATATATATATATATATATATATATATATATATATATTTTGCTTTTAACATTAAAAAACATTCTTGTTTGTCAATATGATCTATCCAGAGCTCCACATGTGGAAAAGTTTCTCCTTTAAAGAATCTTTGACTATCCTATGATTGACTGATTATTCAATTATCAAAATAATCGTTAACTGCAGTCCTAATACTTTCACCGTTTTGTATTTTTTGGCTCTGCTTAACATTTCTTTTTGAGTTTTCATATATTTAATTTCCTTTTTGTGGTGTTTTCTGGTTGTATTTGAGTTGTCTACCCTCTGTTGCCCTCTTGTGTCAGTCTTCTTCCCATAGCTCCCTTCTAGGAACAGTTCATTACCCCAGTCTTTGTTCTGTTTGACATATATACTTCTCCTCTTCAGTGACTGTTTGCTGGTTCCTCGTTGTTTCTTCATCCTCATGCATATTTTCCCTGAGTTCAAATTTTTGGTTTTCTGTATTTTGTTATTTTTGTTGCCACCTTTTTAATTATTAAATCTGCAAGAAACCACTTCAGTTTCCGCCTCTGCATTTGGATCCTTTAAACCTCCAACGAATCTGACAAATACAAATAAAACATACATTTCTGGTTATATTTTCTTAAAAAAAATGTCATCAGTCAGGTAAATCCTCCCTAACTATCCTAACTGGCATGATTTGGGGATTTTTTGGGGTTGATGGGAGGAGGATAGAGAGAATCCAAGGACAACATGCAAACTGTATAAGTGGGATGTGAACCTGCTTGAAGCTACTTCTGTTAGAGTGTTAAACACATGTGCCACGGTGCAACCCCCTGTCCAGACCAGTCAACAGAAATCCTTCATTTGATTTGACAGGCTTTTTTAGGACACACAGGGATTAAGTTCTAATTTTAACCTATGTCAATCTATCCATTCATGTTCTATAGCCTGTTAATCTTGTTGATGGTAATATAGGTAGGGTTGGGGCATAACATAGTGGTAAATGGATAACAGGCATGGTGCATCCTTAAAGGGTCTCCTCACATTATGCTCACATTTAATAGCATTGTAGAGTGACTGGTTAACCTAAGTTTCAAGCATTTTGACCACCACAGAAAAGCAGAATACCCGATAAAAATAATGCCTAGAGAATCACCTGCTTGGATTTGAAACCCAAATATTCTGGCTATGGAGGCAGCAGTGCCAGGCACCAATGTACTGTGTGGTATTTATATAAAACGTGTAAAACCATAAGGACCTCCACCTACTCAATTACCATTCTTTCAGTTTCGAAATGCGCAACCTATTTCCTCATTCTAGCACTTGTGTTTCTCAGGTTCCCAGAATATTAACGAATAGCTACAGTTTGACAAAGGTGTTAAAAGAGGCTTTTTGCATCATGCGCAGATATTTACGTGATATCCTCTTATTAGCTTTGGGGTGAATGAAGGACATGTTGACGGTAAATATTTTAAATTAAAGACTTTTAACAACAAACAGGAGATAAAACACTAAATATTTTTGGTAATGCCAGCAAAAAGTGATACCCGGGAACTTGTATAGAGGATACCTCATAATACAAATAAAGCAGAAGGCAGGGTGTAGTGTGGATTAGCATTAGAACATGTGCACTTTATATACAGGATATAGATCTGGAAATGACTTCCGGGTTAAGCTTGCATGTCATCCCCATCTCTCTCTGTGCTCGTCACTGTCAAGCTAGTAATAGATAAGAACCACTAGTGGCATAGTATCATAAAAAGAAGGACAGCTAAGACTTTACCTCTTCCTGTTTATGTGCAAACTCAGGTTTGTTACCCAGACAGCGCATCCAGTGGCTACTGGAAATTGCAAAAGCAAACTCCAGTTTACCATTACTGTATGTAATGTTGCAATCACAATGGCATAATTACTCACGTTAATCTCTTTCACAGTGCTTCATAGCTAATATTGCTTTTCTGTTCGAGATTACAGCCACCATGATATAATCTCTTTAAGCAATGACTCATACACTATATTGCCAAAAGTATTTGCTCACCCATCCAAATTATTGGAATCAGGTGTTCCAATCACTTCCATGGCCACAGGTGTATAAATTCAAGCACCTAGGCATGCAGACTGTTTTTACAAACATTTGTGAAAGAATGGGTCGCTCTCAGGAGCTCAGTGAATTCCAGCGTGGAACTGTGATAGGATGCCACCTGTGCAACAAATCCAGTCGTGAAATTTCCTCGCTCCTAAATATTCCACAGTCAACTGTCAGCTGTATTATAAGAAAATGGAAGTGTTTGGGAACGACAGCAACTCAGCCACGAAGTGGTAGGCCACGTAAACTGACGGAGCGGGGTCAGCGGATGCTGACGCGCATAGTGCGAAGAGGTCGCCAACTTTCTGCAGAGTCAATCACTACAGACCTCCAAACTTCATGTAGCTCAAGAACAGTGCGCAGAGAGCTTCATGGAATGGGTTTCCATGGGCGAGCAGCTGCATCCAAGCCATACATCACCAAGTGCAATGCAAAGCGTCGGATGCGGTGGTGTAAAGCACGCCGCCACTGGACTCTAGAGCAGTGGAGACGCGTTCTCTGGAGTGACGAATCGCGCTTCTCCATCTGGCAATCTGATGGACGGGTCTGGGTTTGGCGGTTGCCAGGAGAACGGTACTTGTCTGACTGCATTGTGCCAAGTGTAAAGTTTGGTGGAGGGGGGATTATGGTGTGGGGTTGTTTTTCAGGAGCTGGGCTTGGCCCCTTAGTTCCAGTGAAAGGAACTCTGAATGCTTCAGCATACCAAGACATTTTGGACAATTCCATGCTCCCAACTTTCTGGGAACAGTTTGGAGCTGGCCCCTTCCTCTTCCAACATGACTGTGCACCAGTGCACAAAGCAAGGTCCATAAAGACATGGATGACAGAGTCTGGTGTGGATGAACTTGACTGGCCTGCACAGAGTCCTGACCTCAACCCGATAGAACACCTTTGGGATGAATTAGAGCGGAGACTGAGAGCCAGGCCTTCTCGTCCAACATCAGTGTGCGACCTCACAAATGCGCTTCTGGAAGAATGGTCAAAAATTCCCATAAACACACTCCTAAACCTTGTGGACAGCCTTCCCAGAAGAGTTGAAGCTGTTCTAGCTGCAAAGGGTGGACCGACGTCATATTGAACCCTATGGATTAGGAACGGGATGTCACTTAAGCTCATATGTGAGTCAAGGCAGGTGAGCAAATACTTTTGGCAATATAGTGTATGTTGCCAAATTTGGTAAAGCAGCGAGCAGCAATAATAACAATGAGAATCTGTTGTTTATTATTGCCAAATAAGTTTCCCTGAGAAAGTTACCCTCTTTTCTAACCTATTTCTTGGTATCTGAAGCCATATTTAAAATAAATCCAAAACATTTAGGATTTTCAAAGATTAAAAAGAAAATTGAAATTCTTTAAACAAAGCAGCTCTTTCCATTTTTGATCATTTCGGTAACATTGTCAGCCGAATGACTGCAAATGCAATATGCTCATTTTCTTCAGCCTCTAAACATGAACTGCAGCACTTATAGGTCAGTTCCTGTTTTTTTTTTTTTATCTCAGTATAAAGAGGATCTTTATAAGGAAGTTGTGGTCTGCTGCTGGTATATTGCACCCACCCACTTTTCATGTCACAAGACTGAAAGTTTTCATGAATCATTTTATTTTATTTTTACTCAGGTAAATTCATGTGAAATACACCACTTTGAAAAAAATGATTCATATTATTTTGTGCTTTATTTAAGTTGACCAAATTGTGGTCCAGGATTATGTCTGTTTCTCTGAAGGAGAACAGATGCAGGGGGGAACAACACCCGATCCTCCTCCTCCCACTCCTCCTCCAGGGTTCACCACTCCCTAAGAGAGAGCACGCGCTATCCTCTTTCACTGTAAAACTCCCCACCCACAGCAGTTTTCCTTAAAGGCCCCCCTCCTGCTGAGCTGAAACTGTCACATGAGGGTGAGCTCAGGGGGTACTGCACCTTAGGTGATATATTTTGGGGTCCTCGTTGGAAGGGAAATATGACGCGCCAGGACAGAACGGAGCTGTCCACGCGGGTGAAGGAGCCAGCGCTCGCGTCGCGCGGTGCCAAGTGTCCAGGAGGTGCGTATATGGTGCCACCATTACTAATAATCACAAGCTATTATACAGTAGCAAAACTACAAAGGAAAACTAGAGCATTTTCTTTCTTTTTTTTTTTTGTGATCGTAATGGTCATTTAAAGTGCAATGGCGCACGTGCGTAATGCGTAATATGCGCTCGGTGTTTATTTTCACCTGTTTTGGAAAAGTCTTTGACTAAAACTGACCTAAGGGGAATCCCACCGTTGCAATGAAACGGTAAAACCGGTGTTTCAGGTGTGCTGCTGTAGTTCCTTTCTTTCCTCTTTCATTTTCTCTCATATTATTTGCGCGTGCGTTTCTGTTAGGGCTTCCTCGCCGGGGCAATTTCTTTTTTTGGGGGGGGGGGGGGGGGGGGGTAGCTTGGCGTGTATTTTTTTATTTTTTATTTTTTGTTCACCTGCTCCTCGAGAAGCGCCAGCTGCATGGGGTTGGTGAGGAGTTTGAACAGATGTAAGGGACTATGAAAGCAACAGGTGCTGCTCAAAATCTGCCTGCAGGATCCGGAGCAACTGTTCATGATGGCGCCTAAAGGCAGCTGAGGAGTGTTAATGAATGTTTTTATTTATAGGATGTTACTACATGGAGAAGGCCAGTATCCAGGTACACTAGATGTGAATATGAAATAAGAGATTTAAAAATGTGCAACGATAAAAAAATATATAGGCTATATACAAATAGGGGATTAAAAAAAAGGGAAATAGCTCTCACAGCCATAAAACCTGCTGTTATTTAGCTCTCAAAATTCACCCAGGATTTTTTTGCATTAGCCTGTTTAAATGGTATTTCTGCATGTTATATAACTGTGCTGATGCATATGTTGTCGAAGTTAGCAGGTACTGAAGTTTTAGGTCATTTGTGTTTAGACTTTTTTTTTTCCATTAACTCAAAACGCTTAATTGTATCAATCGCTCACACTGAGATCCATCCTTTCCATCCGTCCGCCTGTCTGTCCATCCATCCGTTCGTCTGTCCATCCGTCCGTCCATCCATCCGTCCTTCCGTCTGTCCATCCATCCATCCATCCATCCAGCCTTCCTTCCATCCATCCCTCCATCCAGCCTTCCATCCGTCCATCCATCCATCCAGCCTTCCTTCCACCCGTCTGTCCATCCATCTGTCTGTCCATCCGTCCATCCATCCATCCATCCAGCCTTCCTTCCACCCGTCTGTCCATCCATCTGTCTGTCCATCCATCCATCCATCCATCCAGCCATCCTTCCATCCATCCCTCCATCCAGCCTTCCATCCGTCCATCCATCCATCCAGCCTTCCTTCCACCCGTCTGTCCATCCATCTGTCTGTCCATCCATCCGTCCATCCATCCATCCATCCATCCATCCAGCCTTCCTTCCACCCGTCTGTCCATCCATCTGTCTGTCCATCCATCCATCCATCCAGCCTTCCTTCCTTCCATCCATCCATCCATCCATTCAGCCTTCCTTCCTTCCATCCATCCATCCATCCATCCATCCATCCAGCCTTCCTTCCATCCATCCCTCCATCCAGCCTTCTATCCGTCCATCCAGCCTTCCTTCCTTCCATCCATCCATCGATCCATCCATCCATCCATCGAGCCTTCCTTCCATCCATCCAGCCTTCCTTCCTTCAATCCATCCAGCCTTCCATCCATCGAGCCTTCCTTCCATCCATCCAGCCTTCCTTCCTTCGATCCATCCATCCATCCATCGAGCCATCCTTCAATCCATCCAGCCTTCCTTCCATCCATCCATCCATCCATCCATCCATCCATCCATCCATCCATCCATCCATCCATCCATCCATCCATCCATCCATCCATCCATCCATCCAGCCTTCCTTCCATCCGTCTGTCCATCCATCCATCTGTCCATCCATCCATGTTTGGTTAGAATTCAGGCAAGTCATACCTTAAGCTGGAAACATATTAAAACCTCATATTTTCTTCAGTGTTTGCAATTTATTTTAAAAAAACATGTTCGCACTAAAGAAATTAACATTTGTCAGAATCATTGTTGCTGCTTGAACAGTAATTGGCAAATTCACGTTTGTGAACTCATACCTAGAGTTGGTATTTTTAGCTGTTGATTCTTAAGCTTGAATAACTTTTTTGTTACTCTGTATTTAAATGCTTCAAAGGAAATCAGAGTTTCAAAACAACTGAAATACCTCAACAACCTAAGATTTGCCTAAAATGCTTTCCTTAATAAACAAATCTTTTATATCTACTTGATATTGCTTGTTGTTGTTGTTTAAAAAAAAAAGTGAAACAGTGCAATGAACTCATTTTAAATATGACTACATTCTCAAACAATTTTGTAAATATCACAAAAAACGTCAGCAATATTTCATTCACATTAAACTTCGGGGATAGAATATTTGGGAGGCTATTATTTCAAATCCTATGCTTTTATCCTCTGACAGCTGATTGTGTATTTGGACAAATAGTTAAACTTTCACTTCACTTCATTCTCATATACGAAATGGATTTTATTCAAGAATGAATGATGATGATGTAAAAACTACTTAATCTACTAAACTTAAATGCTATTTAAACCCTATTCATGGTTGTAAAAGTTGAAAAAAATTTAATGTAAGCCTTTCATTTTTACTGTATACCATACTGTTGTTTTAGCATCTATTTTTGTTCAACAAAAAGAGGCCATAATACATATTAAAATAACAGAAAGACATTTATACCAAAGACAGTTAAAAACATTAAGTGGTTGAAGAGGTCAGCTGACTAAATGAAGGTCTCGTTTTGCATCTTTATAAGATAATTGATGCACTCCACAGGTCCTCTGTTGTTAAAATATGTTAGCAGGACAAATTTCATCCTCAAAAACATATATATACAACTGTAAGGGAATTAAATAACTAAGTTTATGAAATCTAAGACAGATGTTAAACTTTCCTAAAGGATGGGTCGATTTTCTTCATTATCTCTACTGATACAGATATTAATATTGGATCATTGCATCTCTAATCACTGCCCCTAATAGAATAACAGGGTGTCTTTTTATGCCTGCCTTGTTATCCTTGTTACACTATTTACAATTTACTAAGAATGCTGATCTAAACATTATTTAGACTCTTGATACGCATGTTACTTTCCACATTTCTACTTTTATCTATCAGATGCCTCTGTCGATTAAGAAAGATATTTAATGTTCCTTTTTAGTAAAACTGATGCTTTGAACTGCAGACATTGTGAAGATTAAACCAAATATTGTAATTAATAAATGGTCATTGATCTGCATCAGGTCCAACTCAGGTTAAACTTAAGGATAAATATTAAGTTATGTTTATTAATCAGTATCAAAGGAACCCGGCTGTCCTGAAACCCAAAGATCAGCAATGGAGGCAAACCAAAAAAAATCCTCAATCAGTTGACCTTTAATCATAAAAATGCAATAAGCTATCAATGCAACAGAGGAAGGCAATATACTGTAACCATTAAGTTTCCTCAATACCTGAGTTGTAAGATTGGACAATAATGTGCAACAAAAGCTTGTGAAATCCCCTCAGGTCATGTAGTTATTAAGTACTATAAATAAATAAATACTTAAAGAGGCATCAACTTAACTGAAAAACACTCTGAGTAATGTTGTGAAAATTATACAGTTATGCATAATTAAGAATAATTATTTCCACTAACCAAAAATTTCAGTTTCCAATACGCTGTAAGGAAAAATGCATTGCTCTGGATTTAGTCACGGTCTTCACAAATTTATTTTATAATTTTATTCAACTAGGGTCAAGTGAAATGCATGTTTAGTATGCAAAGAGATACAGTTGGTCTAACGGTGTTTTGCCCAAATTCAAATAATGTATTTAAATACTAACAACATTCTTGCTCCGTAAAATATGTCTTTTGACGATAAAAGAAAACCAGAAAGTAAATAGAATGAGTCTGGAAGAGCAGAGGATAGTACTAAACAGAATCTACCATAAAGATGATGCAAAGATTCCTTCTTTGGCTGGGTGTCAGTATGTCCTGCACAATAAAATAAATTGCTTTATTTAGAAAGCTTCTGCAAATTCATTAACATTTCCAGTCTGGTCAAAAAGGACAGAACTCTTTAGTTCTCCAGACACCTAAATTACAGGACCGTTTTTTCATTGCATTTAACTACAGAAGTCTGTTTATTTTATTTATTTTATTTTTTTTTCCCATGATGCACGTTTGGTGAATTTGTTTTGTCTTACTTTTGATAATGACAACCAAGGTCAGTACAAACCTAGAAACTTATCACCTGTCACACAGTTGTTGGAAATGTTTGGGAACAACTGACACGAACAGGTGGCATCGGATTGAGCATTTCTCTAAAAAAAAAAAGGATTCTTGTCATAATTTAGCCTTGAGTGTCTTCCCTTTTTTAGCTTTTGTCTTTAAGCTGTGGCGTTCTGATTCAGCAGGAATTTAGCATTCATATCACAAAAGAAGCTTTAGTGTTCAGAAAGTGAAGGAATATGTGTCTCATCCAACAGGTTTCTAAATTGGAAGTTAGTCAGAACCATTTGTTGTTAAGCTCCCTTGCAGGTTATGGTTTCCTCTGGATTCTGGATGATGGAAATATTTATACTTTACACTTTAAACTCTGTATATAATGAAAGCAGCTGTGTCTTTTCTGCTTGTGTTTTATGGACTTCTTCTGAGAAGAACTTAGATATGAGGGCTTGTTGGTCTAGGGGTATAATTCTTGAATAATGACAATACTTGTATAATTCCTGGACAAGCCCTTTCTGTCTGTTGTGGGAGTGGTGGCTAAGTGGTTAGTTAGGGCTTTGAGAATGTTATTTGATGCTCTCTATGCAAGAATATTACCCCATGATGACATTTTATGGCTTCCCAAGAGTAAGGGTTAGATGCACGGTTAAATTTCTCCATTGTGAGATCAATAAAGTTTAATTATTATGAGTGTATTTTTTTTTTTATTTGCTATAGGTCCGGATAAAAGACAATATTTTTTTAAACTTTGCTTTTAATACTTATCAAACTGATTTATGCTTAGTATTTTTGTGCATACAATGTTTTATCTTTCAGTGAAGAACTTTGGTCTTCCTGGTTTTGTTGTAAAGTGATATACAGATAAACTTTGATTGATTGATTGATTGATTGATTGATTGATTGATTGATTGATTGATTGATTGATTGATTGATTGATTGATTGAGTGATGGATTCATTTGCTGTTTGAGCATGCATGCAAAAAAGGAAAGAGCTTAACTTTAAACTTTAGATGTATGCATGTTGCAAAATTATTGCAGTTAATAACCACACATGGATATAGAATGGAAAAGTGACCTTTTGAAATGTTAATGCTTATAATCTGATTTACTTCTTTCCGCAGCGTCCTCGTCGGCTCTGTCAAAAGGCTACTCTGGCCGGGGCTCGTGACATGCGCTCTTCCTGAGCTGGGTGAGGTCTCCCTCAGCAGCACGGCGGCAGCATGCCGGTGCAGGCAGCCCAGTGGACAGAGTTCCTGTCCTGTCCCATCTGCTACAATGAGTTCGACAGCAGTGGCCACCAGCCAATCAGCCTGGGCTGCTCCCACACTGTGTGCAAGACGTGCTTGCACAAGCTGCACCGCAAGGCCTGCCCCTTCGATCAGACCCCCATCAGCACAGACATCGACCTGCTGCCGGTCAACTGCGCCCTGCTGCAGCTGGTTGGAGCAGAGGTGAGATAGTCCCTGCACGTTTCATTCTAGATTTGTTCTTTTGAGATGCTTCACTATCTAATTGCATTGTGTTTGTGTGTGTTAAAGGTCCCAGAAGTTCAGCCTGTGAGCCTAAGCAGTGCAGCTGATGTTGAGCACTATGAGATCTGCCGATTGTGTGTAGAAGAGCTGGCTCTCTACTTGAAACCGATCAGTGGTGCCAAAGGTACCGAATATGTACCATCATGTGAACTTTCTTTGAAAGACAACTTTGCCTTGTCTCTACAGATCCCATTAAGACCTTTTGTAAAAGATCAATTCAAAGTTGAGCTTGTGTTGTAGAGAGGAAACTCTACAGCTCAGTTCATTGTTTTTACAAATCCAACCTTAAAAATGAAGCAGGCTTTTATATTCAGCCCCAATAAAATAAAACTTTTAAGAATCACATTTCTCTACAACTATACTATAGCTCCAGGTCTGTTAGGCTATGACTTAACTTGGTTCACCAAGTGACTGAGATTTTTCTGTTTTTTTTAGCAAATGATCTTTGACTCAAACAAAAAAATATCAAGAATGTTTATTAAACTCAACTCTTCAATGAATTCATGAATATAGTTTGAAACAAGCCATTCCATCGTTGCTCAGGGTGTAAATTTAGGTATGTCGGCTCACTGGAAGGTGAACCTCTGTCCCTCCCATCAAGAACAATTTAAGACGCTGTGCAGTGTTGTTTTTCCACCATACATTGCATTTAACATTTAGGGATCCTCAAAATGTTTGCTTACTTGCTGCTTACCCAGTCTTTTGGTTTAGGTGGTCGACCATAATTTGGATTTGCAGTTGTTCCACACATTATTGCGTTTTTGGTCACCCAGTTAACAATACTTTGTGATGCTGCTATGAAAAACCCTGACATTAAAAAAATATAGTTAGGGTTGATGAGGTGGGTTTTTTAACAAGACACAAGAGTTCAGATGTATTTTTGGGTTGAAAAGAATATTGGCATATTTGGACATTTGCTGTAGAGAATTAATCTCTTCATATTCAGCCTGCGGAGGCTGCTTGTAAAAACTGGCATTCATATTTTCACACATCTCATGATGCCAGAAGCCTCTGTACTTTTATGATTCCTTGAAAATATTCAGCTTTATAAGAAAACAGGACTACTGTGGTAAACCAAGTCACAAATCAGTAGCTTGATTATATTACATGGATAATTTGGACCTTATGTTGTTGTTCTTAAGACTGATTTACAAAATTTTCATCATTTCAAGATGAGCTCTGTGAAATTAATATATTTTTAATTGAAGAAATACTTCAGTGGGTATATACTAAGCGGTTTTTTTCACATGCTCCCTCCAGGTGTGGCTAACCTGAGTTCGAGCGTGCTCAGCAGACCCATGCAAAGGAAGCTGGTGACCCTGGTGAACTGCCAGCTGGTGGAAGAGGAGGGTCGTGTCCGCGTGGTTCGGGCTGCCCGCTCTCTGGGGGAACGGACTGTAACTGAGCTCATCCTGCAGCACCAGAACCCCCAGCAGCTCTCTGCCAATCTCTGGGCAGCAGTGAGGGCACGTGGCTGTCAGTTTCTGGGTCCTGGTGAGTCTGTGTTACCCAGTACACTTTGTGGACATGAGCAAACATTTTTGCAGTTGCAGATTCTGTTTGTTTGTTTTTTTTGTAAAAGTAATATTTTATTCTTAATCAATTTTACAACTTTTTTTTAAATGTGTTTGAGCTTGAAACTTATGCTACTTAAATAAATAAAAAATTTGCCAACAGAAAAAAACTTGAACAAAAGGAAACGCCCTCTCCACTTAAAAATGCACAACCCTGTACCCGCTCTCTAGAGGGAACGCCAGTTAAATGTGTGCAAGAGCGTGCACCAGCCCATTTCTCCTCATTTTAATAGCAGTGAAGTGAAATGGATTCTCCAGATAGCATGCCAAAATTAACCTGTCGAGTAGAAACTTTGCAACCGAGTCATCAGTCATCAGCCTGACCTGTGCTTTCAGTGCATGCCACCATTTATCAACCCGCACGCGCCCGAACCCGTTAGGATGACTACCGAACCCAACCCGTCACCAGCGGATATCTTCAATTCAAATCCAAACCCGACCCGACCCGTTGATATTTAACCCGCAACCCGACCAGTTAACACATCAAGTAATAGGCTATCGTACGCTGCGCTGCAGAACAGCGCCATTAACACTGCAGCAGACGTGTATGCACTGACTGTGGCCTTTTTGGAGGGAAGCCCACACTGCCGGCAGGGCTTTAAGCTACAACAAGGTGACCCCAGTGCCTGATTAATATAACATTTCTGATGTCCATAACAACACACACGCATAAAAAAAAAATCACCAACTCCCCGCCTGCACTAAAAAAATATCCGCCCGACCCCTTTATTTTTATTTATGTATTTTTCACCCACAAAAGAGCATTTTAGCGGGTGACCCGTAAAGGACCCGCAGGTACCCGACCTGTTGCAGGACTCTACCACCATGTGAAAGAATCTTCCAAAACCAGTCTTGTCTTGTTTCTCTCTTCTAAGACCTTTCTCTTCTTCACATAAACTTCGTAGTCACTTTTTCTCTTACGCCCCTCTGGCATTTTCAAAGAACCATGGTGAAAAAGGCGAGCTTCGATGATTGGCTGAAATCATAGCTCACCACACATATATTTCTAAAAGTGCACATGTGCAGAAAAATGATAGCTAACTGGGGATGAGCACGTAGGACAGCCTTACGTAAACATCACCAGAATGATTGGCAATTAGGAGGACCAGTGGTTAGTGCCCACAGCCCATATATGGAGGCCTTTGTCCTCGACGTGGGTGACCTGGGTTCAAATCCGACCTGTGGTCCTTTGCAGCATGACTCTCCCCCTCTCTCATACCCCCTTTCCTGTCTGCCTACTGTTAAAAAATGAGCCACTAGTGCCATAAAAAATCAAAAGAAAAAAATTAACTATAGATGAAAATCTCACTCTCAAGCCAATATTGGTATGGCATGCTCAACAACTGATGTGTTAACTGCACTAACCATCTCTTTTGCTATTTAAAACCTGTAAGTCTGTGAATATTTTAGTTTCTTAGCACATGTAATTAAATGGTTAAATCCCTTAAAACCATTTATACACATGAAGTCAGTATAAAAAAGTATAATTTGGCTCAGACACAGAATATTTTTTTGACATGCCTGTTTAGTTTTAACGATGAAGATGGTTTGAAAAATGTTTTTGGAACAAAATGGCTTTAATTCAGCCGTTTGACCATTTGTGGCACCTTATTGTCTTGCTCAATTATTTTTAAGTTTACAAACACAAATTTTCTACAAATGGAGAAACTTTTTCAGTGGAGGACTAGAAATTGTTTTCTTCCTCTGCTTACTTACACTTCCCTCCAAGTAAACATCTCTGGGAAGTGTAAGAGAGATCACTCCTTTTTAATTTTATCTGCCAGTAAACTTGCTGAGAATTACCACGTTTTCTTTTTTAAATCAAGCAGTCAGCAGTTTCCCTCTGCATTTTAAGATGATGTGTCACCATCCATATATGGGCATTGTGTTTCTGTTTAACAGGGGTCCCAAAAGCTATCTAAAATTTCCACTTTAAAAGCCTTAAAACCAAAGAAAAGGCCAGTATTGTTTTAGACTTAAAATATTTATTCAAATTATAATATTTTCTCGTTTTCATCACTTTTTTATCTCTCATTTTCTATTTTATTTGTATGAATTTACTGTGTTTTTTTACTGTCAGGTTTGCATATGACTCATCGAATTTGGACCTTGTAATGTGTGAATATAAATTAAAGTATTGTCATAGTACATTTTGTGTTGATAAGTTCTCTTCAAAGTTGCCAGAGTTACTCATTGTGCATTACCTCATCTACCTGTCAGCTGGTCTTGGTACCGGGTGTCCTGTGATGATTACTCATAGGGCAGATTCTGACTGGGAACACGTCTCTCATCATGATAACAGAATGAGTTGAAAAGTCTGAGGACACCTGGATGTTTTTGAACTATTTCCTGTTTGTTTACCTTTGCTGGGTTAAACTCCCTCTATCTTTACTCCTCAGCGATGCAAGAAGATGCGCTGAAGCTGGTTTTACTGGCTCTGGAGGACGGTTCTGCTCTCTCCAGGAAGGTGCTGGTTTTGTTTGTGGTCCAGAAGCTGGAGGCCCGGTTCCCCCAGGCGTCCAAAACAAGCATTGGCCATGTGGTGCAACTACTCTACAGGGCCTCCTGTTTTAAGGTAAATGATAAATAAAAACATTTTTTTTTCAATGGGTCCATTTAAATTACATGAAATACTAAAACTATTTGAAGAGACTTCATGTGTCATCATAGTTAGAGCTCCTCCAGATAGACCTTTGATCTGTGTGTATTTCTAGAGCTGTTATTTGATGAGCGACATCTCTGCCTGGACAGTAATGCTAACTATCCACTCATGATGTAACCTCCAGCTATATTCGCCCCTTGGTGCCTTGCAGGCTGGGCGGAGACAGTAATGAGACGCAGTGGCAGGCAGATTAATTCACAGGATTACAGAAAAAAAAGGACAGGAGTGCAACTTAAGCACAGAAGTCATTTAATTATGTTTTGGTTGTCGTTAACTGATTTTTTGTAGGGTTATATGTTGGTGTCTTATGATGATTACTCATAGGGCAGATTCTGAGTATGGGAGAGTCCCTTCATGTGATCAGAATTTGAGTTTATGAGTCTGAGCACGCCAACAAACAATCAAACCTAATCTGTGAAGGATCTGACATTTACTTCAAAATGCCTTGGACTGTTTTTTTTTTTGTTTTTTTTTTGTAGGCAAATATATAAATAGAAATGTTTTGTTTCCTCTTTTCTCAAGCTTTGTGAGTTACTCACTTTTCTTTTTTCTCACAACACGCTCTGTCCTTACCATCAGGTGACTAAGCGTGATGAGGACTCCTCCCTGATGCAGCTGAAGGAGGAGTTTCGGACGTATGAGGCGCTTCGGAGAGAACATGATGCTCAGATTGTCCACATTGCCATGGAGGCTGGCCTTCGAATCTCTCCTGAGCAGTGGTCCTCTCTCTTATATGGAGACCTGGTTCACAAATCACACATGCAGTCCATAATTGACAAGGTATCATTATTATTATTAATGTATTATAGCATATTTATTATCACTGTGGATTAAGGTAGATACAACCTTTTAAACTGTTAAAAAGAGTAATTAAATTTGAATACCTTCTCAATTTTTATCTCTTATAAATTGGCCAATTTCAATATCTGGGGAAGCATATCCTTTAACCATACTTTCATATCAACATATAGAGCTATAACCCATTTATCATTTCTCGGCGGAGGAGCCCATATATCTGTTTGTTTACTTGGGTATTTATGATTATACTCTATATTTCTATATAGAGTATATCTATATTTATTTTTGACTGCAAAATTTGTGCATTGCAACAACATCTATCTTCTGTATTTAACCAATCAAAATAGCAAGCTTCCACTGTGCAGTGGTTGGTGAGCATTTTAGACCTAAGAGTTTTACTCAGGGGCCAAAAGTGTCAGTCTGTTGAATTGAAATCTTCTCTATTATGCGGCTACTTTCCTAAAAAACATATAAAATCTCATGGTTTTAGCTTCTTGGCAGTAAGAGCTTCTACTAAAGGATGTGGCTTCGTCAGCTCTTTATTTCAGCTCTGCAGGAATTGAGCCCAATCTCTTCATTTGTTCGGCAGCTTTAACGCGGCAAATAAATGTAAAAATGTGTGAATTTGTGACATATGTTCTCCGTCATGCCTGCTTCTAACATGTTTTTGTGCTAAATGAAAATGATACCCTTATTCTTTCATTTCCAACTTTTAGTTCCCCCTCTAGCGGTTAGGAAAATTCACAGAAAAGCTGAACCTTCTTATAAAGCCACATGGTTCAAAGCGTGGGGAAAAAGTAGCATATTCTGAAAAATATGGTAGTTGCGTTTATTTAAAGCCATCACAAGATTAATTTAACACTGCAGCTTTAAGATTATAATAGTAGAACAGACAGGTAATTTTCCAGCTAATTTCTAAATCAGTGGTTGATGTGAATGCAGCTTCTAATAGTTCTCAGCAAAGCTGAACTGAACTGAGCTGCAATTTCTTAACTTTTGTTCCCTTGTTCCATCCTCTCATTGTGTATGATGGTGAAAAAGACCTGAATCATCCCTAAACATTTTATTAAGGTCCATTATTTTAACTTCATGATTTTGGCTCTAAGTGTAGATACTAATGAGGCAAGTTTTAGCCATTTCCCAATTTAGTACGGTCAAAAGCAGTCTGCTTTATTTAAATGCTATGTGAGATTAGGCAGCTGCATTAAAACACTTGTTTAAGTTTAATATTTCAGTCCAGGCTGATATGGATAGGGAGCTAATAATTCCTGAGGGAACTGCACATAACAGAAAAAAACTAATTCAAGAGCACTTAAACTAATCTTTTATTGTTTGTGCTGTAGTTGCAGTCTCCAGAATCATTTGCAAAGAGCGTCCAGGAACTGACGATTGTTCTCCAGAGGACAGGAGACCCTTCCAACCTAACCAGTCTTAGACCACACCTGGAGCTCCTGGCCAACATAGATCACAACCCTGGTACTTCATTTTTTTTTATCTTTACTACATCTTTTTGCTGAAAAAACATTCTTACAAAAGCTACATATTTCCATTAACATCTACTGACAATACCTGATGGCTGGAAATATAGTTTATATGTATAAAAAAGTGTTAAATCTAGATTCATATTGTATTATATTGTATTCAAATTTGTATCTGTAAAATGATGACTTGCATTATGACAAATTGTCCCAACATTATCAGGAAATAAATCAATTTAAAGAAAAAATATATATTTGAATAAACTACAAAAGTTCACGTAATACTTTGATAATGAAAGCAGCCTGGGTAATAACAAAAGGGCAGGATTTGTAATCTGCGGTTTTCATCTTAACCACACGGCCAACACAGATTGAACTTTGACACTTTACAGAAAAAAATAATCTGTGTGACATTTAAAGAGGTCTGACTGATTTCCTTATCTTTCTATTTCAAGCTTAAACCTCTATCAAAGTAGACTTTTCAGATTTTATATATTTATTTATGCTCTGCCTTTTCAACAACAACTGTTATTTTATAGTTAATTTCCATAATTTACCTTATCTTCTCATCCAAATTGATGTTAATCTGTGTGCAGATGCCCCAGCTCCATCATGGGCAGAGCTGGAAAGTGTGATGCTGGCTGTAAAGTTTGTGGTTCACGGTCTGGTGGAGTTCGTCCAGAACTTTAGCAAGAAGAGCCATGAAACTCCACAGGTACGCTTATAGACCAGAGTAATGCCATCCTGCTCTGATAGTAGATGTTTGTTTTCCCCTAAAGAAGGCATCATTTCAGTACACCTCAATGCAAACTGAAGCAAACTTAGTTCTTTTTTCATTTGTCACTAAATGTAAAGAAGTTCCTTTAACTAAGAAAGCAGGAATAATACCACAGCTGTTACTCTGTTACTGCCATGTACATGTTTGTAACTTTGCCTTAACCCTGATGATTTTGGTTGGAGGTTTTAGAGGCCCTAAAGAAATGAATATTGAAATAACATTTAAACAAATTCTTTTGAATATAAATATTCAGTAAACAGTTTTTTAGTTTTTTAATGGGCTTAAGTATTACATTTAAGGCTGCTCAGTGGCACAATGGGTAGCACTGCTGCCTTGCAGAAAATAGGTTCTGGGTTTGATTCCCGCCCCGGGCTCTTTCTGCATAGAGTTTGCATGTTCTCCCTGAGCATGTGTGGGTTCTCTCCGGGTACACCAGCTTCCTCCCACAGTCCAAAAACATGACTGTTAGGTTATTTGGCTTCTCTAAATTCTCCTTAGGTGTGAGTGTGTGTGTGAATGGTTGTTTGTCCTGTTTGTCTCTGGGATGTTCTGCGATGGACAGGTGATCTGTCCAGGGTGGACCCCGCCTCTCACCCGTAGACAGCTGGAGATAGGCACCAGCAGCCCTCGCAACCCCAGTTGGGATTAAGCATGTCAGAAATGAATGGATAAATAATTTTTCAACTGAAATGAAGAAGAAATTGTACATCGTTTGTAGACTTCCAGGCAGTGAGGGTGTACCAAAAGCTGAAATGATCATGGAAATGGTGTAATGACCCATGCTTATATCAAAAGGCCAAAGCAGCATTTTAAAACCCAAAGAAGCAAAAGGGCAAGACAGGATTTTCTTTCATGGGTTTTTATTCTGTCTTTGCTGAAAAGGTTTCCAAGGGTTAGCTTTCAGCCAAGAAAGATGACGCTAAGAGGCAAACTTTCTGCCTAGAAGTTATTAGGGAAAATACAGCATGGATCTGTTTGCAGTTTTCATGGTTTAGAAACTACAAAAACTTTGAGTCATGCTTTTTGCGACACTTCTCCAGAATCTGGAATTATGTCCAGGTATGTTTCCTAAGTTACTGTCAGCTGGTTGAAAGGAGGCTATTGCATTTTTTACAGCTGATTTATATATATATATTTATATATATATATATATTTTTTTTTTTTCAAGGCCAAAATAGGTTTTTTACAGTTATTTAAATTTAATTGTGTTAAATTTGCAAATCTTTTTATTTGTATGTTTTGCAGGGTCCAATAAAAAATGTATTTCCTTCACCTATTTTCTCAATTCTGTTATTCTTTCAAAAAGATATGAATACTGTAGTGCAGAACAGAGTGTAGTTACCAATAAAAGAGTAACATGTCTTAAATTAGGTTCTTAGTTTTAGCTTTTTAACAAGAGATGTCATCAATAAATGACTGGTAAATCATTTTAGAGATATTTGGCTGCTTCTTTTAGCAGCTGGTTTAAAGCTGAAATATGTGTGATAATTTTAGAAGGTTACAGCTTCATAAAAGGAGCTGTTTTCATTTGTTGAAAAAGTTAATTTGTGCTCAAATGTTTAAAAACCTTGTATAAATTAGTCTGCTAAAGCATGAAATTACTGAATGGCAGATTCATGAAAACCTGTATGCTTATAAGTTTTCATTTATTGTAAAATATCCAGAGTAGTTTTTGATTGTTTGTATTTTTGTATCCTGCAGCCCCAAGCCAACAGTAAATATAAGACGAGCATGTGCAGAGACCTTCGTCAACAGGGAGGATGCCCCAGAGGAACCAGCTGCACATTTGCACACACCCAGGATGAACTAGAGAAGTGAGAACTAACACAGGCACCAATCTCTCTGCATTTTAACATTTTCTTATGTAAAATAAACAAAACATGTATAGCAGTTTTACTCGTATAATTTTAACATCCTTCATCCTTAAACATAAAATTTGGAATGAACTAGACAAGTATTAAAATGTGTAATCAGAAGGGTTTAAAATGATTTGTCCTCTGCAAAGATTCAGGCTGAGGAACAAGAAGAGTGGCAGTGTGGTTCGCCAATTTCCTCTGGCCAATAAAGGCATCAAAGATACAGAGGAAAACATGGGTTCTACAACAGAAGTAGGTTCCAGCCTAACAAACCCGCTGCTGATCTCCAGAGGGTCTGGAGGTGTGGAAGAACTGAAAAGGGTTGTTACGAATGGAACCAATGGGACTAACGGCCCTACCAGAACCCCATCGGGGTCAACAGAGCTGTATGAATCCTACTTCATTGGATATTTTTTGTTGGCATTTGATGTCTGAATATTCAGGTTGTTCTGGACTTAATCTCCTGTCTACTTCTTATGTTCTTGGGATCTTTTCGAACATTAGGAAGTCCCTGTCTCCCCCCAGAACTCCAGTCAGCCTCTCGTCAGCTTCGTCTCCATTGAGCACGCCTGGTGGTGCTGATGTCTGTACTCCTCTGCCTCGGCATGGCCAATTCATCCTCTCCTCACCTCACCCCTCTCAGGGGTCAGAGATGTACTATCAGGAGCCCCACCCTGGTTACGACAAGGCACACTTTCAGCAAAGCTGTGAGTCTTTGTCAAAAGAAATAAGAATCAAAACATATTTATCTTTTATTGTTTCCTTCAGGGAGGTAAAAAAGAATTCAACCTATTTTCCAGCAGGTTCATTCTATCCATCTACTCTTCACCCTCCACACAAAACATGCATGGCTCGCTTCCTCCGGTCCTCTAACGTCCAGGAATCGGCCCTGCCTCCTTCTGCGGGTGTTTCCTCGTACCCAAATGACCATCAGCCACCTCACCCAGCCTCATCCCCTTCTTCAGGATTTCCTCCTAGAGATCAAATGGGAGCCCCCACCTTCCATCACCATCCAGGACAGGGACAGTATGGACATTTGGGTCCTTCTCACGGTGTTTATGCTCCTCTCTATGACAGCAGGAGACTATGGAGACCTCAGGTAAGACTTCATGCAAATATCTATTCATGCAAATATTTTTAAACCACCACAGATTTCTCCAATGTCTGCCTCCGATGAGCCTGGCCTTTTTATTACCTAATAAAGTCTCCAGGCTTTCTGAGGGTTAGCAGAGTTTTAGTCCTGGGATCAAGCTGCTTTTTCACTTATTTTGTATAGAATAAACTGAGAATAAAAGTAATAGCAGGGAAAATGTCATGTCTTTGAGAAATGAATGAAATGCTTCCATTGTCTGTCAATAATTTCTCCACATGTTCTTGTTTTCATGGCCCTGGTGTTACCACACGGCATATAACAAGACAACGATCCGTATCGATGTATCAATTAAATCATTCACATTCCAGTTACATCGATGCAAAATGAAAATATTGATCCAAATCGATACAATGCCATATCCTGAATAAGTCATTCATACCCTTTATTATCACTCAACATATCAAATCTGCGCTAGGATGTTTCCTCATAATCTTGTCTAAAATATATGGGATCTTTCTGCACGTCTACCATCAGTTTTAAGTCTCATTGTATGGAAGGAAATAACTGAACATGCATCAACCTATCAGCAGCATGTCTTCATGTTATTTTAAACTGGTGCCATGCTGTGTGCATATCCCTCTGAGTAAGTCAGGATGTGACTACTATTAATGAAACTTGTTAGAAACCCAAAGGAAACCTGCTCGGCATTTTCTTCCAATCAGCACTAAAAACATTTTTTTTTCTTGCTTTTCAAAAAATTTCACAAATTTTACTAAAGACTGAATAACAAACTCCTCTTAATCAATCACCAATTATGCACAATTTGGAGGTGTGTGTAACTCTTCTTAGTTTTCGCTTATTCCACAGGGCGCCAAACCCTTGTCAGTCCCAATGTATGCATCATTTATTCACATTATTTCTACCCTTAAATTACACTTAGATATTAATGACCAAAGCTTTTATTTAGAAACATTTCCATCCAATATTTGCATTCTGCCTGTTTTACCTATCAGTGACATGACTCTTTGTCACCACACAACACCAGTAGCAGTAAAATTATTACAAAGTTAACAAAGCATCATGCTATGCATGTTTAGCTGCACATGTTAACCAGCTCTACCTGCATCAGAACTAAAGATTTCTAAAAGCCTTCACTTTTTAAAGACAAATAAAAACACCACCACCTGTTTAAAATAATGCAGCTTTACAGTATTACAGAAAACACCTTTCAGTAAATTCTCCATGTTATTCTTCTTGTTTGATTTTATTGCATTCCCTATGTCTCAGAGCCAAGGGGAAAAATAACCTCAGCCCAGCTACGCTGACTCTGTTATTAGGTAACTTTTATAAGAGATAGTGTTGCCAGCTTGTAGAAGCTTTGATAAAAAAAATAAAACCTTAAAGTGTAAGAGAAATGTATTTTTAAGGCAATTTAATGTTTATTGTCCATGAGTTTGCATGACAACGTTCAGTGCAAACTTAGACCTTTCACATATACGACTGTAATAAACCAACAGCAGGAACTTAAAGATCAGCTTCACTGATTGGAGTAGCCTGGACAGCTTAACTAAATATAGCAGTCGCCCCCCTACCAACAACTCTACCAACCCCTCACCTCTGACCACCTAGTACCTGCACTATAGATGACAGAGGACGATATAAATGGGTTATTTTAGCATCAGAAGACCAGGAAAGCACTATGGATTGATGGCATTCCTATTTACTGCCTGAAAAGCTTCCACTGACCAACTCTTCCCCATTTTCACTCAGATTTGTACTACTTTTATCCCTGAATTCAAAAAACAGATTATTCAATGACAACAGACCTGATATCTAATGATGAAATTATTTTAGAGACGGATGTTAAATCATCTGCACTACATCTTTTTTTTTCACCAGCCTGAATAGTCAGCTACTCTGCTTTGAAATAAAATAAGCATGTTTGCACTACCACATTCTGCCTTTCATTTTTTCCCTTTCTTTATAGGAAAAATGGCTGTACCCACACACGCCTGTCCTTACTCTTCCTTTCAGCTTCTGTTACCTCTTAACTTTATATAATTCTACACATAAAGTCTATCAAATGTGAGCAAGGTTGCATTTCTTGTTTGTGTAATTCTTTGAGCGTTAATCACATCTACAGCCTGACACATAGAATTCTACATAAGGCTAAGGGTTTATTTATACGTTATTAGTTAGATTTTGCTAAGTTAACCCCAAATGGTAGATATAAAAGAAAAATTTATCATGAAAAAGTATAATTGCTTTAACTTTTTGCATTAATCAAAACAGATCAAACCTTTTTTACCCTCAAATCAGTTAATGGAATTACACCATGATAGATGGGTGGCCTATAGGAGGGGAGTGATGGTCTAGCCTAGAATCCTGAGGTTCTGGGTTCATATCCCATTCCCACAGACGGCCATTCTGGGTCTCTAAGCAAGACCCTTAACCCCTGATTGCTCCTGAAACTGCACAGTTGCATCCCACTGCTCACCAAAGGGGATGGGTTAAATGCAGAGTGTTAATTTCTTCATTGTAAGAAATTTTATTTTTATTAGTCTGCGAATGAATCAACGCCTGAGGGTATCGAGATATGTAACTTCCCAACCACATACCAGAAATGCACAACCCTTGATTTAATGCATGTAGTACCAAAGTAAATCAGTTTCAATTAGGTTGTACTGTTTGGCTGTTCATACTTTAAAGTGCATTGTTCCATCAGTAATAAACTGCAATGCTTCATTATATGTAAAATGGCTCCCAGATTTAGTTTTAAATGCATATTAAATGCATTCTTAGTCTGGTTGGAAGCAGATGTTAAAAAGTGCCAAAAAAAACATCCATTGAAATGATCTTTTTGCAAAGTTTCTGTTACCTCTCAACTTAATGGTTCTTCTGTTGACAGTGGGAGCTTTTTATTGATTAATTGATTGACTTTATTGATCTCACTGTGGAGAAATGTACTTGATATATCAGCTCAAGTAGTCAAAGAAGAAGAATGTGCCAAAGGAAGAAAGAGGTGCATGGGATATATACAATGCATCCACATATGACAGCTTTTTTTTATTTTTTATAGTATGGTTATTTTTTTATAAAGAGGGTTATTGCACGGGGTGTTTACATGGGTATTTGTATAGATGGATATTTATATTTATATAGTTATTGCACTGGGTGTCAAATATAGAGAAACAGGTTATTGCACAGGTTATCAAATGTTACACAAAGTGTAACATTTGTTCCTTAAAGATCACATCACCTCCTGCTTCTTGTAAACGGCCGTGCTGTAATGTATAACTTGATTTATCTGTCACTTGTTGAATGATCACCATTACAGCTGTACCACAGAGAGGATGCCAGGAGTAACTCACTGCCTCCGGAGGTTCTGCACTCCTCAGTCTACCAGCCTCCACTCAGGGAGAGATTCAACTCTCTAGACAGCAACTACTGCTCTGGAGCGGAGCATCGCACCGGGCTGCACAGGGTATGATAAATAATTCACCCAGTGGCTGATGGAAATCCTCATTGAGGGTGTTGATGTAACCCTTAGGCTTCAATTTCTTATTATTTTTCACCTATATGCTTCAATTTATCATTACCTCCGTGTTTTAACTTTCTCAATAATAAGTGCATCAGAAATGCTTCACGCTGACCCATACATTGCTGCAGTTGGACTATACAGTACTGCAGGATTCATTGCTAAAGCAACATTACTCTGTCAGTAGGAAGAGAAGTGAGTGGGTGAAGCAAAGACGTATCTGGGTGAGAAGGGGGTGGACCACAGAGTAGGCTGAAGCCACGTGCTGCAGAAATGTGACAGGAAAGGAAAGGTAGAGATGAGTTGATATGTGGGTGTAAGGAAAAGAGAAAGCAAAAACAGGAAAACAGAAAGTTGCAGTAAATCCTTGTTGTTGTCAGACTGCAATTAATAAATAAAGACCTCTGAAAAATATTGCATGTTATACTACAAATGGAAATTTAGAGTGAAAATAGCCAGAAAGGAAACGCACCAAAGGAAACATATTTATGTGCACCGCATAAGAACTGAAAATACGGTTGAATATGTAGAAATAAAAAGTGCTCCACAATGCATGCGTTGCATCACTTTGCTGTCAGTGCATTGAAATATGAGTTCCATTACAATTATGCAAATGTGTATGATCTGTTCACTGTCATCTCTTCCCTGTTTTTCCGTTTTGATCTGATGCTGCTTCAGGACTATGGGCGCGTTCCTCTGGGATATGAGGATCTGTTCAGACGGAAGCAGGAACACTGGACTCACATTCACCACCATCACAGACCCTCCCAATCTTCCCCCATCTTCACTGCTGATTTTGGGCCAGAGGTAAAGAACAAAAACAAACACATTAGAAAATAGTTTTAATCTTAGAATTAGTAAAACCATTTTCATGGACAGTCGTTTCCAATCAATAAAGAAAGTGAGCTGTGCTTTGGTCAAATATTTATGCGCTTAACTTTTTAAAATATGAATTTATTTAGCTCCTATCTCATTAGGCGTACACTTGCTGCTTTCCCCAATGCTACTTAAGAGGGAGGTGGTTGCTTAGCAACTGTTGAGGCAGATATCATAGCAATGCATGGTCCTGGCATGCGTGTGGGTGTGTGTGTGTGTCTGAGAGAGCAAAGACTTTGTTGAGCAGTGACTCAGGCGTTTGACTGAATAAAGCTTTGTTTAACGGCTTGTTGGATGTTTTTTTTTTGTGGTTGAACACACTTATTGTAAAATAGATCAGGTTGGTAAAACAAACAGCTTTTTTTAAATGTCAATTTATATGAATTGGTTTATTTTAAGTTATATCACAAGTGGCCTTTCTCTGCTAAAAGGAGAAGTTGATTAAATGTTATTATTCTCCTTAATCCAATATATTAAACATTTCAGTTCTATTCAAGCAACAAAAAATATTATAGACTGCAAGAAATTTTTCAGATACTTCTCAGTAAAACATCCTCGCATTAGAGTTTAGCACATCAGCCGGTGAAGCAGGACAACTGCAATAGGTTAAGTTGTATTCCATTTGTTTAAAGCATTAGTCTGCTTAGTGAGACTTTTGTCTCCCCCTTCTGGAAGCAGGTGTAATAACACATACTTTTTCCACTCCAAGACAATTTACATTTTACTGTGAGGAGCCTTGCAGATTTATCTCTCAAACTTTTCATCATTTTTTTTATCACATCATGACCACAAATTAATTTTTGCTATTATTAGTTCAAATGGCCAATTCAAAAAAGGATTATAAATGTGAAATGGAAGAAAGGTTTATAGTTTTTTCAAATGGAAATCTAAAAAATTTTTTGCATTTTAATCACCTCCCGTTCCCACAGTAAATACTTTGTAATACAGTAACTACCACAGGAATTCTTTGGTGGTATTCACTCACAGATTTACTTTGCATTACAATATACGCTGTGCAAAATAGTGAAAATCTGTTTGAATGAGGTAAATTAAGTTTTATTTACTGTATTTACTTCATTGCTAAAACAGCAGACCTTGGCTAGAAAAGCCTGCATCTATAAAAGCTTGATGTTGAGATGGAAACAATAGATTTATTCTCCCCCCCTTTAACTGAAATATATAAGCCATATGTTTGTTATGAACCGAAATAGTATTCTATTCCAAGGCTCTAAAGTATGGAACAGTCTAACCTCCCCCTTTGCTGAGCCCTCACAAAACCAGCTTAAGAACTATCTAGAAAACTAAAATTTTTCCTGATGAATGTCTGTCTTTTCACTTATGGCATCTCCTTTTAAACCTACTGAAACCATGTAACTACGGATATGCATGTTTTCATTAACGGTTAAGAGATTTACACATTAATATGTAGGTTACCCTTTTTTAAGTCCCTTTAGAGCCTTTGGTAACTTTCCTTCACATTTTACTATAAAAATAAATTATGAAATTATGTATTTTACACTAAAGTTAAGATAAACTAAACTAAGCAAAAATAATTTGTTAATGCACTTCATATAGATATCATTACATTTACATGTATCATTTCATAATTGGATATTTTGCTAAATATAATGCAGCTCTACTCTATGTTTATTAGAGGTGCGGTGTCCGTGCTTGTAAGTTGCATTCAATTCAGTTTCTAGCTAAGTAAATGTTGGGTTTTTCTGTTCTTGAAAGGTTATTCTGTGTTGGTCTTTTTTCAATTAGGGTGTCCAATTATAATCTGCAACAGCAAAAAAAAAAAAAGTATTACAGTAATAATTGAGATGTACACAACCTTTCATAGCTTTTAAAGGTACATACGCATGGAATGCAAATTTTGCAGCCAGAGAAAAGGATTCCCATGTTATCTCTAGAGAGCGGATCTGTAGCAAAGCAAAGCGGAGCAAAAATGAGCAAGATAAAGGTGAGAAATTTAGGCAGGCGAATGGCACGATTTTTGATAAAGTTGGTGACATTTGATTGCCGCCTCACCTGCTAATGAAGTGGAAAAATCTGAACTTTAGTTTAAATTTAAGTGCGAAATCAAGTCAGAGACAAGATTTGCTTGTTAGCAATGGCTGAACGATTTTGCCAAAAATCAAAATTGCAATTATTTTGAACCCATATTGCGATTTTATTTCAGGTTTTCTTCGCAATAACCACACCTATGTAGATGTTTCACTCCAGAATTTCATCATTTTCATTACCTTGACAGTTTCCTTACTGCATGACTTTGCTGTAACCTTTGTTTAGAGAAACGCTTACTTCTGCTTGCATGCATAGATCTGAATACTAGCAGGAAGTTTAGTTCCTTTTTCGCGGAGGCAAACACACTTAAAACATACACCCACCGGCCACTTTATTAGGTTCCCCATGCTAGTAACGGGTTGGACCCCCTTTTGCCTTCAGAACTGCCTCAATTCTTGGTGGCATAGATTCAACAAGGTGCTGGAAGCATTCCTCAGGGAGTTTGGTCCATATTGACATGATGGCATCACACAGTTGCCACAGATTTGTCGGCTGCTCATCCATGATGCGAATCTCCCGTTCCACCACATCCCAAAGATGCTCTATTGGATTGAGATCTGGTGACTGTGGAGGCCATTTGAGTACAGTGAACTCATTGTCATGTTCAAGAAACCAGTCTGAGATGATTCCAGCTTTATGACATGGCGCATTATCCTGCTGAAAGTAGCCATCAGAAGTTGGGTACATTGTGGTCATAAAGGGATGGACATGGTCAGCAACAATACCCAGGTAGGCTGTGGCGTTGCAACGATGCTCAATTGGTACCAAGGGGCCCAAAGAGTGCCAAGAAAATATTCCCCACACCATGACACCACCACCACCAGCCTGAACCGTTGATACAAGGCAGGATGGATCCATGCTTTCATGTTGTAGACGGCAAATTCTGACCCTACCATCCGAATGTTGCAACAGAAATCGAGACATCAGACCAGGCAACGTTTTTCCAATCTTCTATTGTCCAATTTCAATGAGCTTGTGCAAATTGTAGCCTCAGTTTCCTGTTCTTAGCTGAAAGGAGTGGCACCCGGTGTGGTCTTCTGCTGCTGTAGCCCATCTGCCTCAAAGTTCGACGTACTGTGCGTTCAGAGATGCTCTTCTGCCCACCTTGGTTGTAACGGGTGGTTATTTGAGTCACTGTTGCCCTTCTATCAGCTCGAACCAGTCTGGCCATTCTCCTCTGACCTCTGGCATCAACAAGGCATTTCCGCCCACAGAACTGCCGCTCACTGGATGTTTTTTCTTTTACAGACCATTCTCTGTAAACCCTAGAGATGGTTGTTCGTTAAAATCCCAGTAGATCAGCAGTTTCTGAAATACTCAGACCAGCCCTTCTGGCACCAACAATCATGCCACGTTCAAAGTCACTCAAATCACCTTTCTTCCCCATACTGATGCTCGCTTTGAACTGCAGGAGATTGTCTTGACCATGTCTACATGCCTAAATGCACTGAGTTGCCGCCATGTGATTGGCTGCTTAGAAATTAAGTGTTAACGAGCAGTTGGACAGCTGTACCTAATAAAGTGGCCGGTGAGTGTATTACGGCCCTTTAAAGTGCTGGAGTAACAAAAAATTAGTGCCTTAGTCTTGTTAAATGTAACATGACCAGAACTGAGCGCCGCTGCGATTTGAAAATAGCATTTTCTTAAATTGTGATTAGATTGCAAATGAAATTTGTTGCCCACCCCTGCTGTGAGCTACAGTGGAGGAGTGCAGCCGAGACCAGCTTTTTATAAATTAAAAATGTAAGATGGAGAAAATAATGTTGAGGGAGGATGAAGTGGGAATTCTATTAAAAGGATTTAAGGTAGCTTTTAAAAAAAAAGCTGTTTTAATTTAATTTCTAGTTTAGAATCCAGCTCAGATGGATGCTTTCTCTCCCTGGCTCCACCGTCTGTCTCAGGCAGTACTCCTTTCATCTCCCTGCAGTTACCCCTGTCTTGCTCCCGGGCTGCTGCAGTCTCTAACACCTTCAGTGTTCTGTTTTCCTGGTGGACTTATCCAATCTCCCGCTGTGCTCCTCTGTTCCTCCGTAGTTACCTTCTATAGCTGTAGCCTCTCCCTGCTGGTGCTGTTTCCCCAGCTGGCTTCTCCGCTCTGCCTTCTCGCCCAGCTCTAGTGTACTGATTCCCCAGAGGGATCCTCCGATCTCCCACTAGTGTTCCTTAGGTTCAGAGGGTGACACAGCTGGCAGCCTTGTCCTTGTTTTGTTTTTTTCTCTGGCGGTGTTCTCACACTGATTTCCTGCTGCTCCTTTCTGACTCCAGAATGCCGTATCACCTAACCCTCTGTTTTCAGGGTGATTCATCCCCCAAAAAAGGACAACAGGGACCTGAACTGGGCTACAGATGATAGGTGAAAGTACATGTACAGCTGAAAGCAACGGTCATCCAAACCTAGCCTCTGGAGGTGATAGTATTCTCCACAATCATTCCATCTTTTGGAAGCTGGTGAACCTAGGAATGCCTGCTGCTTTGTTTGGCTTTCTTAAGTGAAAAGCACTGCCAGTCACTTTGTTAATCTGTTTCCGCCATAATGAGGTGAAATCATCGACCAGCAGACTCCATGATGCATTAGCCTTTAGGCTTTCACTGGCCAGGCGACCATCAAGGCGGGCAAAAGCAGACGGTTCTGGCAGAATATCTGCAGGTTTTGCGTTCAGTGTGAATTCAAATTGAGGTTACAATGTTTTTCCTAAGTACAAGTATTCTTTTTTTTAAGAATGCTATCCTTTTTCGTTTTTAAGTCTTGTTGAAATCTTGAACAGATTAAGGATATCTGATTTCTCCTTTGTTTTTCCTTTCATAGCATATGGAAAACGGTGGAGGTCAGTGCATGGGATGTAGGTTCAGAGGTGAGGAAAGTTTGGCACGTTATTCTCCATGGTCCTGCGGCACAGCCGGGCCCAGCTTAAGCCCCTTTGAGCCTGAGCCCCTCAAACCCGCCCCAGCTCACTCCCATTCCCACTCGGAGCGTCCGGTGAGATTTACTCAAAATGATGGTTTTTAATGCATCCAAACAAAGCCTACACTTGAACATTGGCATTTCAAATTGTGCTGTTGTGTTTGTTGTGCAGGAGCTAGACTGTAACGAAGGAGGACAAGGCGTTGTTAGCGGCACTGGGAAACGATGGCTACACTCGTTGGATCACTATCGACGTTTGAAAGAAGAAGATCCTATTATTCCCTTCAGTGAGGCGCCCATTATCTCAAAGTGGGGGGCCATCTCTAGGGCATCCCGCACAGGCTACCATACCACCGAACCTGTACAAGCCACGGCCCGCCAGGGCAGCGCCAGCACCACGGCCATAAACTTCAAAGGTCAGGATAGAAAAATAAGAGCTGTCGAAAGAAAAAAGGAAATTTTGTTTTATCACTTTTTTTAACTACATTTCTTAAGATATTGCTTAACAGAATAAGTGTGTTTGTTGAGGAGGTGAGACACTTTGCCAATGGAACAAGATAATTTACATTTAAAATACACTCATTTCAAGTGCATATTATCTAATTATCTTACTTTAAGAGTAAAATTACGCATTCAATTGTCAGATCATCTTATTTACCTACTCAAATTAAGGGTAAATAAATTTAATTTAAGATATGTTGACTTATTTTTAGATTGTTTTTGCAGTGATGCGTTACTGGACACTCTTTACATAGCTTATTTTATTAGCACAACAATTGATCGACAATTGATCCTCATTTCTTTTATTATTCTAACAGATTACAACCATCACTTTGATCACAGTGACTATAGATGGAGCTCCAGAGGATCAGACTCCTCTAGCCATTCCAGTTTCCTTGAGAGGTATGACATTCCTACATTTTAACAGTTTGTCAGCTGCTCCACCAGATAAAAAACAATACACTGGAACAGTTTCATGTCCGGGATGCATACATCTCTAAAACAAGAACACATCTGAGCAAATCAGATCCCAGTCTTCTATTTCTAGGCTTGTAATATGAACCCATATTACAAATTCAAAGAAAGCGCAAAAATCTACAGCTTTCTGTTCTGCCTCTTACTGTATAGTGGATGCTCTCTGAGAAAATATTGTGATAAATAACAGGTAGATAATAAGTTTAAAGTTGCTGTTTTATTTCCAATTATTGGATCTGTGCTACATTTCACAGCATTTTTTTACTGCACATCAGTAGTACTTAAATGATTGCTGTTAATAACACCATTACCTAGAAATCGTATTTAGACCGTTTTACAAAGTGTTAAAAAAAATTCTATACATAGTTATTTTTTCCATCTCTCTCTAGAAATATTTTAATATCACATTCCAACATTTTTTTAGGTCTTTTTTTCTTATCTTTATATGATGCCTAGTGGCACATCTGTTGCAGTGGATTAATTCCACATCTTTGACAATCAATGTTTAAATCTCAGGGTGCATAAGGAATAAAAAGCCATAATCTTATAATTATTAGCGTTGGTGGCCCTGAATGATGAAGGAAAAGGACTCAAACATGGTCTTTCTCAAATGTTTTTAAAAAGCACCTTTTTGGGGGGAAAAAAGTTCTATTTTTGTTGTGTTTTGTGTCAGTGAGCATCTTTGTGCGTCGGAGCTGAATGGCCGCCGGTCTTCGATTAGCAGCGGAGAGAAAATTGTGTCGGAGCAGCTTCAGGATAATCAGACCTCCTTCAGCCGGGAACCAAACCAAACTGAAAATGAGTCAGATCCGGATCGAGACATCGAGCTCGAACTGCGGGCTCTGGACATGGAGGATTCAGAACACCACGAGATTAAGTCTCAGGTAAGTCTGGGTGCTGAAAATAGGTGAAAATAAGCCCACTAACTAACCCAGGTACATTTTCGGTACCTTTTATTAATATGTACCTGCAAAATAAGACATGGCAGTCCAACATACAGTAACTTTAGAGGAGCTGTAAATATCTACAGCTCAGGTGGAAGAATCTGTCCATAAGTCAATACTTCTAAATACATTTCTATGTAGATAAGTGGTTGTTATTGATTTTAAAAGAAGTAAATACATTTTTTAATTCAGTGTGTGTTTCCATCAATGTCTCTTAGGAAGGTTTAGATCTGCCCAGCCCTCAGTCTCAGGATGCTTCCCACCTCCTCCCTCCTCCCTGCTCCTCTCCTCTGTGCCCCTCCCCTGTAGAGGAACGCAGCAAATCAGAAAGCCTTCTGACTGAGAAAATGGACGCTCTCCAGCTAAAAAAGATGGCTTTCAGGTAAAACTTCTCTAGAAACGCTCTTAAGGGATGCACTATAACAATGGTGGACGGTCAGTGCCTTCAAAGCCTTCACTGCTGGCCTAAAATCAATCAGAAACACTAACCTACAACCTACACTTTTAATTTCTTCTATCCAGTTGTATTCATTTTTCCAAACTGTTTTTTCTCTGAATTTTGTTGTGCTTCTTCAGATTTCAGCCTTAGTGTGTTGCTATATCAATCTAATCTGCCCAGGGCATTCAGAAGCCAATGTTACCTTAAAGGTATAGTGGAGGAATCTAGCAAATTTTTGAAAAGACCCGCCCTCTTTACTTAAAAAAAAAAAAAAATGCACATGCACAAACCTCTACCCGCTTCAGAGAGGGAACGCCTATTAAACTCAACCTCTCGATTACACCTGTGCTTGTTATATTTCATATCCTGCCTTTTCTTGCCTTCTATATTTCAGCTTTTTTGTGTTTTTTTTTTTTTTTTTAGGAAATCTCTTTCTCCTATTGGGCTGGGATCAGGAGGTCTGGGCATCATGAAGCTCGTACTACGAACTGGACCTCATCAACTGGGCGACACTTCCACCAAGGCTCATCCAGAAACCCCTGGGACAGAGATGCTGCTTAATTAAAGCTAGAGCTGATCTAGACCTGAGTCACATTTCAAAGCAGAATATTCTACAACAGAGAATATTTTCTTTTTCCATTTGAAAAGGTAAAGATGTTTTGGACATCTAACCGGTCACCTAAGAGAACCTTCAACAGGCCTTTCAGTGGTTAAAGTGGCTGAAGCCAGGTCTTCCAGAGCTACATTTGTGGGACTAAATTTATAATAATCTCCATTAAAGTCTCAGTTCTTTTTTACAGCAAAGCCAACATTGCACCGTGGTTTCAGCACATTTCTCAATACGTGGTTGCTTTTAGTGTGTGCCTTTGAAGACTTGCGTCCCATAAAAGCAGACATTGATCAGTATCTAAAATCTGCATAGCTGCTTTGTAGGATTATTCTTTTTTAAATCTTAAAAGTTTAGACTGCTGCTTACAGCTTTTTTTTATTGATTTACTTATATTTTGTGTTTGCTCTCTCTGGGCAGCTTCAGGTGGTCAAATTTATACATTTTGCATCGTCTTTTATGTTTTTGCATCTTTGCATCTTTTAAGGTGTTTCTTTTTTCTTTCAGTAATATGCCTTATTATAAACAAAAGGGATAGAAAACATAACATTTCCTGCAAAACAGACCACTTTCAGAAATCCTAACCATCCACAGTTAAAATCATCTACAGGAACTCTTGTGTTTAATTGTTCTTTGAGATGACTAATGTGTTGATTAACCAATCAAATCAAGCATTATTTGCTATCTCAACATTCAAATCTTACAGATAGGGTGTTGATCAGAATTTTTTATTTATTTGAAGATCCTGATTCTGGTGCATTTAATTTATCCTCAAAGTGATTTGATCAGATAACAGCCTATATATAGCATTATCATTTCTTTGTTCAGTTTGTATCGAATAGAAACAAATTCTATACAGAAATATATACAGAAATTATGAATTTCACTATGTTAATAAAAAAAAAAAACTTCAAAACACTTGAGATAAATAACGATTTTAGATTAAATTTTAAGGAAATTAGCAATTTAATTTGCAGATATCCTTGGAATGATAGCCGTAGAACTTCAACAGGATATAGGACAGCTTTTAAAGGAAGAAACTGAGATATAAAAACCCACTGATTATAAAACAACCCTTTTATGAGTCACAAGATATTTTATATAGACCTCTGACCGTCAGAGAACACAGTGCCTGTTGTCATAAACCTCCTTTGCAAACTTTACATAGGTATATGCATGTAGAACTTGTGCAAAAGCTCCATTCAGGGCACACAGGAGCCTTTCTCTCCTTTTTGTTTGTTCTAAGCAAACTTCATATAAAGCTGCTCATTAATGGATCTTAAAAAAAGGAAATGATGTATGCCAGTTGGATCCGTTTCATCTGCTTTGTGTAAAACAATTTGTGGATATGCTGAATGTCTAAAGGGGAGGTCGGCTAAAAAGAGGAACACCGCCTGTTTTCTTCTATAGCTAAATCTCTGCTTAACTTTTTTAAAGTTTTGGATTATTTTATCTGTTTCAGTGACGCTGACTTCTATGAAGTTGTTCGTTGATAGATTTTTTTGTATTGAGATCTTTGTTTCTCATGTTTGCTGTATTGTTGATTGCTGGCTTTAAGGCCAGTGATCTGTGATCTGCTTTTCCTGGAGGTGATGGATCATTGGTTCAGATCAAAGCTGCCTAAAAGTTTATTTGAAAGCATTTATTATAAGACTTAAGACAAACCATATTAAAGACTATTTAGTCTTTGGTAGTAATGTCCTCTTAATGTGTTCACATCCAGATTTGGAGTCAGAAGTTCTTCACGCTTAAATAACAACTTTATTTGGGATTTTAGATGAATTTTAATAGTTTGTTTTGATGAAATTCAATGGATTTCTTTTTTCAGAAATAATAATTTACTTAGGATTTTCTAAAACAAAACAAGCTCAAATGATGTACTACAAAAACATATAGATCTCAAGCAATATTAGGGTAAATTTGGACCTTTAAAGGACCATTAGTCAAATATTGTGGTAACAGCATGTAGCGTTTTACTAATTTGTTAAACAAAGAAGAACTGCCGTCCATTTCACCACGAATCAGGATGTTTAAGTAGGACCACCATCCCAAACAAACATCGGCTAACTTTAGCTTCTTGACTTGCCCAGACCTAAGGCTTATTGTTAGTTTGTGGACTTTGCTTTAAAGCCAAATCTGGTATAAAACTTAACCAGTTTTTATTACTTTCAACATTTCTGATAAGAACAGCGGTCAATAATTTAGCTGGGAAACTTGCCAAACCTTCCAAATGTTTCCAAAACAAAACACCAAATACATAGCTTTGCTCCCACACATTTTATTCAAAACTCATTAAAGTAATAAAAATGCTTCTTTTAAAAGCCCCAAAAAAAATTAGATTTATGCCAATGATTAATGATTTACTGTATGTTTTGACTGACACTGTTAGTGAAGTTGCCTTGTTTTTAAATGTTCAAGTTTTAAAATGAAGGCCTGGAGACTCTTGGGGAGGTTCGTCCTTTGTCACGGTTGCTCTACCCAACAGATTCCTTTCCCCCATAAGGTCAGTCCTCAAACAGAAAAGACGAGGACTGGTGTAGACCACCTGTTAGCAGCATTTCTTTAAGCTCTGCTTGCTGCAGCGGCTCTGCTTCTGTTTACAACTTTGCCTTTAAAGTCACGTAAAGTTAAGTGCCATGTCGTGTTATAGTACAATCAGTCCCCGCTGTCCACTGACGGCTTATTAAATCTCCTTACGAAGAAGCTGTGTGAGGAGACACAGGCTTTAGTGAGATGGTCCTCTCTTGTAGTTCCGCTAAACCTCCGTTTATGAGTCACTCAGGGAGTCCTTCACTTGGCTTTTTCTACAGGCGTCTGAGTGATCCTGTCATCCAAAGCTTACCGCAGTGATAAAGTGTTAAAAAGGTTCTAAGTATCATTTACTTGGCTGCTTAAATTTTTTTTTCTCTGTCAGTATCAATATTAGCTCTGCTTAGAGTATCATGAAAAAGGGCTGGCTGGACACATATTGGACTGTTTGTAAAGCTGTTTTCATGAGTACGGACTCAAAAGTGTTTGTTTATGAAGTATCCATGGAGCCCTGCTATAGTGGCTAATTGCACTGGACCCCCCCACCTCCTACAACCTGCATCCTGCCACATGCATGCCACACCGCCCCTCTTGTGATTGCAGAGGAGTACCAATGATTCTGTAGTTGTGATACAACACCCCCGGCGCTGTAAGAGTTCTGCACACGCCCACTGTGTGGCCACGTCAAGTGCTGAAGTTTGTTTAGCAGCGTCTTTATTTGCTTGCTCAGATAATTTTGATATCGTTCATTTGCCACTTTATTATTATTATTGTTGATATTATAACCACATTTGGTTGTTGTGATATTTTTCCTTCTTGATGTGTTTTGCTCATTTTGGTCAAATCGATGCCTTTTCTGTAACCTTTTTTAAAAACAGGCAAAGCATCTGAAATTTCTGGATTAGAGGAGAAAAAAAAACTTGTTTGTTATTTGTGAAACATGATGAACTAATGTTTTAAGTATTCATGTCTGTATTAGACATTTTTTTTGCAAATCTATTGTTCGATTGAAATGTCAATGAATTTCTTATGAAATGGTAAACATCCGTCAATGTATACAGTCTGACGCCATCAGTGGATGGACTTGGTAGTGTTAGCGCTCATTTCTACAGCCTGTAAAAGTCAGAATTATTTAAATGTTCCAAATCCTTGGGGCAGTTGTGTAATGTCTCAGAACAGGACAAAGCTGATCCTTCTGAGACAGAACCTCTTAAAATGTCCTGAAATGAATAATACTGTTATGTATTCCATTTATTTCCTTGGAAATATCACATTGTGAAAGGTTTCCCTTTTACTTACTGTATTTGTAATGCAGATCTGGAGTAAAGTCTAATCCTATGGTGATGATGATGATGATTTATGTGCTATTAATAATAGATGGAGCAGTCGGCGTATTGTTTTACCGACTGATCGATTATTCTGTGTTTTCTGCCTTGTTTAGCAGTATTGCACTGACCAACAGAGAGACTGGTTGAACAGGAAACCACTCCTATGTTGCACTGAGAGACTGCATTATAACGAGGAACAGTAGAATATATGAGACTGCATGCTTTAATAAACAGAAAGCTGTTAAACCTATCTGTGTTTGGCAAGCTGTTATTTTCCCTTTTTGGGAGATGACATTATACCCATCCAGGCTACTTTTTTAACTACATGAATATTTATTTGTTGGAATAAAAAACAAGCAAACAAAAGGTTTTTAACTGGTCTTAATATTCACAGTAATTTATGCAATCTCAAAAAATCTCAAAGGATTCTCAAGAAAATGAAAACTTTTGTTTCTGTTTCATCATATGCAGTGCAATTATGCACATATTTGCCTTTCTGGTAATGATATAAGAAACATTTTAAAACACAGGCCTTTAATTTGTGTATTGCCTTCAGTGAAAGTGAAATCCCATATGCTATTTACATGCTAGCCTTATTGGGGATGCTTACAAAAGAACTTTCTTGGTCCTTCCATTACAGAAAGCATTCCAGTGTTAAGTGGGACAATGTTCTTTTGTCAAATCAGACTTAAATTAGCTTTTTGTGAACAATTGTTAAAAGAATCTGTGATGCTGTGGGCTTGTTTATCTCTAAAAAGTCCTAAAACCCTGTTAGAGTGGATGCCAATGCGAAGTGATAGGACATTTTTTATCAAATCTGTGGGACTTTATTAGTAAATTAAAATTTTATATAATTTACAGTATGTCTAAATCCACACACAAATCATTTATCTGTTTGGTCTAAAAAAAAGTTAAGTCCTATAACAACCAATAGGGGGCACTATGTAGAGATGACCCAGTGCTCTGCATGATCCCATCACACTGCAAAGGGGGGATACTCAATCATCCTTTTCTCTTAATCTTTCAGGGTTGTGAAAATTTATTAAGGACAAAATGACGCACTATTAGCAAATAAGGGGTTTGCAAAATGTTTTGAAAGATGGTGTAAAATTTATTTTGGCATGTGTGATTTTGATTAAAACAGATCTTCATTCAAATAAGATGTTTTACCTAAAGGTTAGGTTAAATTACCGCCATAAAAGATTAATTATTTCTAAAGTGTTTACATGTTTTATAGGAGGGTGCCAATAAATGGGTCCTCATCTGAACAAAACTTGAAAATATACTGGATCTCCTTGTCAAATTATGAATTAAAGGCATGTTTTGGTTCAGTTTCATCAGCCACATCCATCCATTCACACATTACTGTATGATCTGTATGACTCAAGAATTCAGTTACATCAAACCTGTCCAACAAGATGAGGCAGCCTGAAATATCTTCAAAAGCAACATTTTGTCCTGATAATACATTCAATAAGAAATAAGAAAAAACATTATCAGGATCAGGTTTTCTGGAAAGCTTTTCCGAATCGGGCTGAAAAATGTATGAGGTTTCCTACTTTTGCATAAATCTTTGTCTGATTCACACCTCTGCTAAGAGAAAAAAAAATTAATTGACATTTTGTTTTATTCCCTTAAGAGAATCACTTAAAAAAATAATAATAATAATAAAAGAAATTGTTTCTGTACTAAAGAGGCAATGACATACAGTACGTTGCTCAGGTTACATCAACAGGTCATATGCTGTATGGAAGACTGAAAACTAAGAATGTAAAAACTTTATGAGTTACTATAGTTTGTTTATCTTTTTTTTTTAAGACAAAACAGAATTTCTAACAAAAAAAAACAAAAAAAATCGTATTAACCTTGAATTATTGTTCAACTAGGCCTACATGAAGTTTTTGGCTTTTGAGTTACTGACTGTAAAAAAAAGAACAGCCGAATAAATATTGTTGTAGTCCTATTTCCATTTTCTAGTTTAAATCATAAATGGACAATTCTTAAAAAAAAAGATGGTGAAGGTAATTTTCAGAGACAATCTCCTAATGCTTCCTGGCATCAAACCTCAGGGTTCAACTAGATTTTGTATTTTTATTTTTGGAATTTAAAAAAAAAATTGAAGTGTTTATTAAGCTCAAACTGTGTTTTAAAGAATCTTTTACTGAATATAGTCCATTGTATTACTGATTTCTCCTCATTTAAGTCTTTCCAGATACCAAGAAGAGTATAATAACATTTTTAAAAGGGCTGCAAAATTAGGACAATTTCAGCACTGTTTTCTCAGATGTCCTCATCAAAAAGCTAATTTAAAACAAAAGCTTGGTGGATATATTTTCATCATGTGTCCATTTATCAGTTTTAATTATATATATAACTCTTTAAAATGAAAACGAGTGAGTGTGGCAAACTTTGAAATGGCACAAAAGTTTTTTTTTTTGCCATTTAGTTTCTATATATAAGATGGACTATAATAGATAAATTAAAGTGAAGACAATTTGTAAAAAAAGTCCAGAAAAGAAGCTTTTTAAATATCAGATCATCACATGATTAAGTTATCTAACATGAATGAAAGGCTTTCCTTTTCTTGTTGTAGCTAGAAGACAAATCCAACTATGTTTAAGGCCACATTTTTTTTATATAAAAAAAAATAAAAATAAATAAATAATAAAAAATTATCCATCCGAGTTAGTGTGGATCAAAAGTGTATTCAGTCTAAATCTTTCCTTTAAAGATTTTCTGGTTTTGATATATCTGTGTGTGAGGTTGAAACATAGCAGCATCTGAAACACTTGATTGAAGGAATAACTGCAAACTGAACATGTTACGCTCCCTTTCATTTGTTTATTGTTAAAATGTGCAAGAATGTAGTACTGCTTTTAACTTAATCCACGTCTCAGAAAACAACAAACTCCTTACCGGCCGGACAGGAATGGCCAGCATGACCAAAACATCAGGTGATCAATGGGTGTGTCCAAACAATACAATGCTGTGATTTTCTGACAATGCAAAATAGCAGAGCCTCTTTTAGGCAGTAGAGATCATGTGTGTCATAAGTACCGTACATGTTTTTTTCCGATAACATCACAGCTGAATGAATCCTTATATTCACTCTATGTAACTTTTCTATAATCTCCTTTATCATACTATTCAATTAATTTGATTTTATTTAGAACTGATTCAAAGTACTTCACAGAGACGATTCATACAGACAGACTGGCTTTAAATAGGGCTGTATTTCCTTTTCAGTTGTCATCATTATACCTAAGCTTACCATCTTTCAGAGTAATAACAGTTTTAACAGTTGGACTGATGCAAGGTTATGTTTGCTCATGGTCCAATGCAATAACTCCATGGTCAGTAATGATTTGGGGTGCTGTGTCATCTGGTGATGTTGGACCACAGTGTTTTAAATGTAAAGACAGTCAGCTTACCTAGAAACTTCAAAGAATTGACATGCTTTCCTCTGATAGCCTTAATAAAATGCAAATTTCCTTTTCCAATTGGACTTTTCCGATAGGTTACTTTAGTTTCCATTTGTCATGATACTTGCTTTAATATCAAACTCACTACATCTAAACCCATTCGAGAAACTATTAAGTGCTGTCAATAAGGTAACATATGCCATACCATTAAATATGCTGAAAAGCAGCCTTGGTGCTTTCTTAATAGCTCAGCATCTGTACCACACTGCATTATTTCGGAGTATAGATGTAGTTTTTAATGGGCTTAAGTATTATATTTAAGGCTGCTCAGGTAGCACTGCTGCCTTGCAGCAAGAAGGTTGCGGGTTCCATTCCTGGCCTGGGGTCTTTCTGCATGGAGTTTGCATGTTCTCCCTGAGCATGCATGGGTTCTTTCCAGGTACTTCGCTTCCTCCCACAATCCAAAAACATGACTGTTAGGTTAATTGGCTTCTCTAAATTCTCTGGTGGTGTGTGTGTGTGTGAATGGTTGTTTGTCCTGTTTGTTTCTGTGTTGTCTTGCAATGGTCTGGCGACCTGTCCAGGGTGTACCCCGTAGACAGCTGGAGATAGGCCCCAGCACCCTTGCGACCCTACTTGGGATAAAGCGTGTCAGAAGATTAATGGATTATATTTAAATAAATTTTGATTAGTTTGATGTAATATTCACATTTTCATCAAAATTAATGGTATAGTGGAGAATTTTCGCAAATTTTTGAAACAACACACCCTCTCTGCTTAAAAAAAATGCACATGCACTACCCTGTACCAGCTCACGAGAGGGAAACCCTGATAAAACGTGTGCGAAAGCGTGCATGACCCCATTTCTCCTCGTGCACGCTCTGTTTAAAAGTTGCTGTTTGCATCGCTCACAGAAGTTTACTTTCCAAGAGAAGATTTGCAATTTTTCCACTATGTCAGACTCACCACTGGTAAGTGAAAATGGGGACGAGCACGTAGGTCGGCCTTATGTAAACATAGCAGGAGTAGCACTTATTTTGATGATCCACCTGGAAAAAGAACTTCCTCCACTATACCTTTAACATAAAAACAGCATTCTGTATGTTGTTGATCTTTATGCTGTCACGTTTCGAAAATCACATTTTTTAAGTGAATTTCTCAAAAAAAATATTTATAAATGCAAAAAAAAAGAATGCAATTTAGAGTTTAATAAATACATAAAATAAAGCTTGAAACACGTAATTTACTATTGATTATGTTGGTATTGCAATATGCCAAAACTTGACACCTCCAAATCTGAGTGACATCAACCAGTGAGCTGCAGGTCACCGGGGGCAACGCTTCACCTCACTTGGCTCAGCAGCTCAGTCTAGTACAATACTGAGGAGCGCCAGGCTGCGCATGCGCAGTGTAGAAGTCAGCGGGTTGGTTGGGTCTGTGTTTACAGCTCTCCTGGATGCTGCTCGCTGCCGATGTTCCTTTGGAAAGTGCAATGCCGTGCCAAACGCCAGTGACTTAATAAAACGGTGGAGATAAAGGTAAGCTGGTCCCCTCTTGCACGAGCTGATTGATTTCAAAGCCAGAAGTGACTGTCACAGTCGTTATGGTGACAAGCGCCAGTTTGTTAGTGCGAACTGCTTGGGTAGCAAAGCTAGCAGGCGTTAGCTTAGCAGCCGTGATAATATAATGGCCTGTGAGGCTGTGGCCAACGTCTCCTGGGTTTATTCTGGATAATATTTTGGACACACCTGGACGTAGCAGCTGGCATGAAATATGTAACAGTGACCGGACGTCGTGCTCCGTTGGTACATTTCTAGTAAAACAGTTT